TCTGCATAGGTTTCAGCGATGTATATACCTTCGTTACCTATATTGATGGTCAGCTAATTATTTACTGGGTACATCGGCTCACAGTACATTTTCTCACAGTGTTTTAACTTTCTTACGTTAGTGATTGGCGTTCATGGCCATTTTCTATGACCTCACTGTTTGTATCGATTTTTATGTATGGATTAAATTTTCTATTTCCCCTTACTTTATTCGCTTTATGCAACGAGAGCAAGCAGCCGATGAGCATTCTCGAAATTTATCGCTCCAACAAATTCCGCTTTTTACACAATCTTCAAAATTGCACCAGGAAAAAGAGGCTTTTAGAACTTCTTGTTGAGCCATAATCTGCTTTCCTCGAGATAAAGGTCCTGGTCACCGATTACGCTAGCATAAATAGTGACTACGAATTACTTGCATATCCAAATAAGCTCTGTCAATTGCTCAGACAATTTTCGTCATTTGGAAGGTTTGAAAATAATTAAGTAAAAAACGTCTGAAAAGTAAATGACAGTTTCGGACATTCAATCAGATGTTTTAACTTCCTCACTTACACGGGTATTTGCTATGCCTTGTCATTAAATAACTACGCGTCCACGCGGAGATGTGTGAGTTTTTTTTATCACATTCGTTTACTTTTAGAAATACCTGAAGGCGACCAACCATCCTTACGGGCCGCTCATTCTCCTACATGCTGGGGAAACATCGTTTGAGCTCAGTGACGTCTGGGATGACGGCTTGGACGTAGGCCTTGAACATTGAACACTTTTCGTTTTTTGATCTTTCATCTTGCAAACTTGTCTGCCGTTTCATCCCTTCAAATAAATAAGTCGAAGACGCGATACGTATGCGGCATTTATGTTTCTTCAGCCCAAAGAGAAACAATGGCAATTGCGCTAGTTTTGCCACTAGTCTTATGCTTTAATGGTAACCCTACTTTTTACAAATGCAAATAAGCGCTCCCCTTTCCATTTGTTTAAAACCGTCCCATCTGCACGATCCAGTAGATCCGTCTGCAAATCTCCGGTAAGGCGTAGGCGCCCTTTTTTTAACGCACAATCAACTCTTAGGTTTGCGAATGTTACATTTACTTGGAAATACTCTGCCCTCTAACTCTATTCTACTACATTACAGTACTATGCTTCCAGTATCTAGTAAATGAAATGAAAATGCTTTACTTCCAAGCGTTATGTGCTATCTAAGGCAGTGATAAACCTCGGAACCTTGTGGTAAATAAATACGTAAGTAAATACAGTAATGGCAAAATAAATTGCTTGTTTGTGGTGCTGCGTTCACTTTGCTTCTTTTGATTCATCGAGTGCGTAGGGAGTAGGAAGGAGTAGAAATATTTACTGAACAGTTTGGTCCGTTGCCAAGATGGTAATACGCCTTGATGAAATCTACCGCGCTTTCTGACATTTTATAGGAAATTATCGAATTAAGTTAAACCGTAAATAGAATATGGCTTAAGGTATTTACTTTTAAGGATAGAAAACCTGAAGGTAATAAAGATAGCCACAGCATGACCGAGGATTATCGTACACTGGATTTGCGAGAATTTCCATAGGTCAAGAACACTTAGAATAAAAGCAACCTACAAGGTACAATTACTTATGGTATTTCAGTTTTCTGTGAAGATAACGTGAGAGGGCATATAAAGAAGACGAGGTTTGAGTTGGGTGTCCTAAACATATGAAATTCAATAAAACATTGGGCATGGGTACTGCAAAGACATTCGAATATTATGAGTTCAAGTCCTTGAATATTGAAGTAGTTTTCATTCTATCGTCAAATAAGGGGGAAAATTTATACAGAACTGCATTTCAAATAATTATGGAAGGCGCTCTCACAGTATAAGGTGGATCGTTGTATGTTAGTTTTCAAATGCTGATTCCCAAAGCAAGCAAGCAGCATGATAGTTACTCGAAAAGAATTCTTAAATTAATCCCTTTATACTTCGCCGTTTTTATATAAAGCTGAATATCTGTTATTATAAAACCTTCCTCATAAATTCAGTTCTCATTGATTGTTGTAGAAAGCTATCAGTTTTTAATGTGAAGTATTTTAATCTTCAGTTATATTTGGGGCAGGAGTAATCTTTCCTTTCCATAAAAATGTCCATAATACAATATAGTAGATTGGCGTTCACCAATCCGCACATAATTTACTAGTTCCATTGTGCCTTAAGGCTCTTTTCCGAACCGTGCAAGCCGCCGCGAAGTGGCTAGCACAGTATGTAGACAGAAATGCATTAACAAGAAAGAAAAAAGAGACTAGAAGGGACTGTTCTAGCTTATTGACCTTTACCAGCCAATTATGCCTAGGCCCAGAGCTAGCCACACCAAAGGCTCGATCCAGCGATCTTTTCATTTAGAAATCCAATGCTCTAATCACCATGACACAGGCTCCTTGCGTTACTGGTTCCTATCGGGAATATACACCATGGTAAACGGGCGTTCACTGATCGCTAGAGAACTCACTCTTTCCGCTGTGCCTTGGGGCTCGCTGGCTGATGACGGCTAATTTGCCCGAAATACCCCTCCAGTCTCTTATGTCTTTTTGGTAATGTAATTCTGCCTGTATATCTATGTGCAGAAATACATTAGAGGCAAACAAAGTAGGGGAGATGCCCGTATATTATGTGCAAAATAGGTCAGCCAATATAGACTATAAAAATGAGGCAGAGAACCAAACGGCGGCCCAATTTAAAAAGCCTGCCAAATATTCTGCCCTTGGCCTTGTTTGAAGTCATTTTGGCAAGGTTTGTTTCAAGAAACCTACCCAGCAGTGGAAAGTTGCGTTAAGCCAAGCAAAACAGTTTTTGAATGATTCATCTCACTGGCAGCGCATGCGCTAGCTAATGAAGCAGCCAGGCGATGCGTCAATTTGGCGTTGCTGCATGACGCAACCGCGCTGGATTTGCCCCATTATTCAGTCCTTTAGCATTCGCCGCCCGCTTACTCCACTTTTTGATGTTACGTTTTTTTTAAATTCCTGCGAGAACTAATGCGCAAATTCGAAATAAATGCTTTAGGAAACACCTGCACAATATTTATATGAATTTTCTAAGCTTGAGCGAATAGATTGCGTACTTGGCACAGTCTACCAACAAGCACACAAATGATGAAGGTCTTTCAAGTATGATAAAATACTGCAACTTTCGGGTATCACTGAGTGTAGTTTGACAGCTTATGAATAGTACGCGGTTATATTGAATTCGCTGATTATGTTTAGTTTATACTGACTTTCGGACTGGGCCTTATAAGGTTGGGTAGGAGGCAGTCCCGCCAGATTGAATGTTCCCCGAACTCAATTAGTTCAGTTTGAACATAGATTAATCCGCACTCATCTTTCAGCTCTTCCGGGCCTAGGTTTGGGAAATATAAGCCTACTAAGACGGCAGTGGGCCCGAACTGACCTATTGAATGTCGTTTGCGATTGTCGAACATGATTTGGCCAGCTCACAGCGAATTAATTTGATAGCGTCTGTCCGTAGCCGTACCGCGGACCCAAGGGCAGATAGGTTGGAGGGTATACTCGAAGAATAGGCACGCCAACATGAAACGTCTTTGAGCAGCAGTTTGAAAAGAGCGATCTGTGGAGCGACCCGGCACCTTCCGGGTGCGTGACCATGGTTTAGAAGCAGAAGGTAATGCGAAATCACCAGATGGCTCACCTGCTCAAGATTTTTTTACTGGAGATACAACCAACAGGATTCACTTCACTGTCTCAGTTGCTATTGGTGTAAGTCAAATCCAGCCAACATGCAGAGGGGGGTACTAATATGACGTCAGTAACTGACGGTTTTATTATCATTTTTACTTTGATATTTCCTATGCGTTCCTCGCATTCGGCATAGTGAGTAATAATTAAATGTAACATTCGCAGACAAAGGCAGTGAGGGACATTTTTAAGCGATGTTCCATACGTCACAGCGTAAGCCGTGATCATTGAAGTTTTGTTAATGTAGTCCTGAGATATATTTCCAGATAGACAGCATTATAAATTAAGAAAGGACATAATTATAGCTCAAGTTCCATACGATATTCTGCGGGCCTGTAAAGCAGCATATGTTCTCGCGACCTGTGGCAACAGCGCTTAGAAAAAAACCAGTAACCTCAGTTTGGGCAAGAAACGTACCAAAATGTCCCAGACTTAATGACTATTGAACTGTGCACATTAATCACACCTAAAATTAGCAGTTTTCTGAGAATGAACTGAGTACCTGAACGGTAGGGAATTTTGCCCTGAACTGTATACAGCATGGCGAGAGCTGCATGCGAACTGCCGAAGTTTGTAAATGATTTATCATTACTCGCATACCAGCATGAAGGCATTTATGCAAACTGCGAAATAATAATAAGCAATGTTAGGCTAATTTGGCACTTAAAAGAGATGTAAAGCGTACTAATCCTTTGTAAGGAAAAATAAGTTTTATTTATAACTTCCAGGTTCTGGAGATGTAAGGAATAACGGTAAATTAGAACAATTCATTTTAGTATTTTGTTAAGTTGATTAGATAACGCTTTCTCTTTCTTTTATATAAAAAAGTACTTTGCATTAGACAACGTGTTTGAAACATTTTGCCGCTATTTAATTAGAATTAATTACAAATGTACCTTTTGATGCCGATACATTTTCGAGCGTTTCAGCACTGTCAAGATTTCGACCATCAATACAGATTTTGTTCGACGTTTATATCGAAATCTTTAAAACAAGGTAGCTATTAAAAGCCTTTACCGAAAAAAGTTTTTTGGACATTAGGTCTTATGAAAAGTGACGTGTGGACCATATTTAGAAAATCCTTAAAACAGCAAAACACATTGTCGAGCAAAACGAACGTCCACAACAGAAGTCTGATGTCGATATTCCTAGAATTAATAAAATAACTTTGGATAATAGGTTATTTCTTTAGCAATGCTTCATTTTAATATACAGCTGACAAATATATGTGCATGTTGTATTTTTCAAAGCAATATACAAATGAAACTGGCGACTTTTAACAAGATTTTCAATTCATTTAAACATAAATGATATAATTTGGCTGAACATAAAAGAATTCAATTTTCTCTTTATATTGCAGTATTTTCCGCCATAGTGAATAACTTCCAGGCTTTCTCCTAAGCTTTCGAATGCAAAATAGAGTCACCGAATATCTACTAGGATTTTGCAATAATTATTAATCTTCTGCCTGTTCCATGTCTAAGTTACGCATGAGCGGGTGTTATAGTGTACCAAAAGTATATTTCTACATTATTTAGCTTCAATATTATCTACTCTTACGTTAATGTTCATGAGCAGTTTCGTTTACCTCCGAAGTACCTGATGCGGTTAAACAAAGTTCGGACAGAACGTTTTTGTTACTGTTTTTATATTTACGAAAATTCCCATTGAAAATTTCAGAAGATAAATTGGCGAACATGCGTTTGTTTTCGATAAATTCTCGTCAGGCCTTTACGTTTATGTGGTAATGAAATAAATAAACTATGCTGGTTGGCGGACAGATTTCGTGTTATTGTTGGCAGGGTCGGGGGGATGGGGGGGGCGGTTGTGGAAGTTGCGGTCAGAATGGCAATCTGTAGCCAGCCCGGCGTCCGAGGCAGGTGATAAGCTATGCGTGGTTGGACTTGGGACTTGTTCGTCTCTGAGGGGGTCCGTTTCCGAGGGCAGCGGTCCACCGTGTGTTGGCGTGTAAGCTAGTTTCGCCCATGGTAACTGTGGCACCGCGACGAAATTCTTTTGGGCG